GGGGGTTTGTTGGAAGGGGGAAGGGGGGGGGACTTACAAGCCGTAGACGTTTAGGTGCTGGTTGCTATGAGAAGGGTTAGTAAAGTTGGAGAAGGTGGGTTGGAAGGGGAACTCACAATGTCCTGTCTGTGTCTGGTTTGACTTGGTAGTTGGCTTTTACTATTCCCAAGGCAACGGCACTTTTGGATTGTTAGTAATGGGAGGGTTTTGAGTCCTTCATACTACTTACATGTATCCGAGGCTGAGAACACCGATCAAATTGATACGTGTAGTCCGAGACATTTGTAAACTCCAGATGATGGGAATCGGCAGAGTTGCAAAGCAGACATCAGTAAAGATGTTCAAAGCTATCGTATGTTAGTGGAGGCTTCACACTGTTTGTTATGCACTCACCAGTATTCGTTAGTGCGAATGCGACAAACATCTTTTGGCTGTAGCAGACACCTTGCCTGGTCCACATTGCTTCCATGGGCTTGCAATACAGGAAGAAGGTGAGCCATGCGCCGATCGTGTAGATTGTTACCAAAGCTGTTCGAGGATGTTAGAGCCATGACTCAGGTTCTCGACCGCTGGTCTTACCTATCAGTGCCCACAGACAGCGCGAATACCACTTCCACATGTTGTTGTTTTTCAGTCTCAACAGGAAGAGAGCGATGGAAATCTTCAACAACCCAAGGGCACCAATGGCGGAAATAATACTGCCAAAGAAGCCGATGTGACTGAACTCCTGCATATCTTCCTTGGAAACCGTCTTAGCATGTCGTCCAAAGCCATGGTTTCCCTGAAGAATGAAGCAAATCCATCCACCCAGAGCTGCAAGCTGCCATCTGTTAGGAATGCTCAACAACAGAGTGAAGCCCGAGTACATACAGCAGCGAGCACAATGGCAATGTCGTCCTTCCCCAACGACCGCAGTAAGCCCACACGGACAAATATTCGGAGGCCGACACTAATCAATGCGGCGATATGGAAAACGCCCGTCAATGCGAGAAGGCGAGGAAGGTTGTTTTCGGCCGCCCATTTGGGGTCCACAGGAGGGCCCACAGAAGTCGAAGACATGATCGTCGCAGACGAGCGCAAACCAGTGGGGCGCAAAAACTGAACAACAAAAGATAGGAATATCGAACATTAAAAGAGTCAAGATACGATAGTACCCTCTTTCTCTGGCGCTGGCAGACAGGAACTCGGTTCCAAACCAAGCGTTTCACAGCGCGCTCATGACGCTCTTGCATTACCTTGGGATCAGACAGTTCTTCCCACCATGCATCACAGCAGCTGCTACATTAGGTATATGTGCTATCGGACATGGTTGCGCGATGTGGAACTCGTCCATGTTTGTCCTTCTAGGCATCTTGGCCATCCAAGCGGATTGCTGCCATGGCCACAACAGAGCTGCTACTATTGGGCGTGCTCGTGAACACCAAGTCGTGTAAATTGTCAAAACTGCAATCCTCCCGGATTCGCCAAGGTCTTCTTTATTTTCTTTGCGGAGAAGTTCCAGGCTCTTGGATATCCTGAGTCTTTGTAGAAAATTGAAGGAGACAGTTGTGGAAAGCTGAGGAACCAGAAGGGAGTTTTGCTGATAGTAGCACAAGCCCGACTTTTAGCTCTGATATGTAAAAGTTGATGAGCGTGGCGTAGTTGGTGTGTGTGTGTGTGGACGGAGAATGCAGCAATACGATGGCTGTGTATTGTAGGATCACCCGGCGGGTGTTGGACTACTTTGAGACGTAGTTGCGAACGTGTTTAATTAATTAGCTGCGGTCCCTGCAGACTCACCAACCACAACCAAAGTAATCGTCCTGGGCCCCGTCGCCCCCCGTCGTCCCGCCCTTCCTTCGCGGCACGGTTTGCACTTCCCCTGGCAATCTTCCACCAACCCGGCGTACCGAACCAGTATGGCTCGCTTCAACTTTTCCTGCGCTCAGCCTTTTGCAAAACGCCACTTGAGGCAAAGAGAAGGACTTGGTTGCAATGTAGGTTTGGCATGGCGCAGGGCGCAGTTCCATGGTTAATCTTACCCGTTCTCCGCTTCGCGAATGCGAATCAACTTTTGGCCCCTCATGCGTTCCATCTGCGCGGGTATATCGAAGGCGGCTTGACAGATGCTTGGCAATCCTGCGAACCCACATGGACCAAGATATCCTGCATATGGGCTGTTCGAACAAATGAATTCTTGAATTGCGATGGACGTCTCTGCATATTGTCGATGGCAAAAAGCAATGAGCAACGGACGCCTTAACAATCGCCTCACCATCATATAATCTACTTCGCACTTCTATAATCTACACTACAATAGTGATATTCAAGTGCCCTACTTCGACCCACAGCCCAAGACCTCGGTATAACACGAGTCATGCACATCCTCTTAGGTGGGTATGGGCTTCACATGGGCTGCGTCTAGGACATGAATCGGGCTCATCACCAGCTATTTCTAGACACAAAGCCAACACCAATCGCTCATGTACGGCCTTGGGTGCGGATACAGATGGCCGATCCATGTCGGTGCATGCACATGCAAGTCAGCCTACGCCCTATAAAGCCCATATTAGACGCGCTGTACGCAGTTCTACACTGAAGTTTTCTTTTTCAGCAGCCAACTCTCTTGTTTCACGCTCCCGTACAAGATGCGTTTCCTTGGTTTCCCTACCGCTGTCCTGGCCTTGGCCAGCGTAGTCGAGTCTGCTGCCCTTCAACGCCGTGATGTTATCCAAGATCTACAGAATCAAGCGATTGCGGCATTGAAGGAGGCGGAGACCAACGGTAGCCTTGAGAGGAGATCGAGCTGCTCTGTCTTCAATGCACCCGTCAGGAGGAATTGGTAAGTTGATGTGTTCTTGTGTCTTGTCAATCAAACTAATAGCCCCCAAGGGACCATCTGAGCAAGAAAGAGCGCAGAGAATACATCAGCGCTGTAAAGTGCTTACAGTCCCTGCCTTCCAAGTCCGACCCAGCATTGGTTCCAGGCGCCAAAACGCGATTTGATGACTTTGTCGGACAGCACATCAACCAGACGCGATCCATCCACGGTACTGGAAACTTCTTGACCTGGCATAGGTATTTCACTTTTGCCTATGAGAAGACTTTGAGGCAAGAGTGTGGCTACACTGGCTATCAGCCTTACTGGAACTGGTTCAGTTACCAGGATGACGTTACAAAGTCTCCTGTTTTTGACGGATCCGATACAAGTTTGGGTGGCGATGGCTCCTTTGTCGCGCACAACGGAAGTGTAGCTGGCGGCGGAACCATTTTCCTCCCTTCAGGCAACGGTGGAGGTTGCATCAAGAGCGGGCCATTCCAAAAGTTAGTACTCCAGTGCACACATTGAAAGTTCTCCTGACTGATCGTGTCAGTGTCCAAATCAACCTCGGTCCTGTGAGCCCAGCCATGGCCGGAGAACCCAAGGTCGCACAGCCACTCGACTTCAACCCTCGCTGCGCAAAGCGAGACATCACGTCGTATGCAGCGAAGACCTGGCTCACCAACGAGAATCTGCTCAACGTCACAATCGGTGCTGCATCAAAGAACATTGGTACTTTCCAGGATGAACTTCAAGGTCGCTTCGGTGATGGTTTCTTGGGCCTACACGCCTCTGGACACTACACCATGGGTGGAGACGGTGGAGACTTTTACAGCAGTCCCAACGACCCTGTTTTCTATCTGCACCACGCCATGGTGGACCGTGTGTGGTGGATCTGGCAAGCTCTACACCTTGACCAAGCCAACACCATCGCGGGCAATGTCGCTACATTCCAACCTAACAGTGCAAAGACCACCCTCAAGGACATTGTCCAGATGAACTGGCTGAACATAGAGCCCAAGATGATTGAGGAGCTCCTGGACACGTTGGATGCAGACCCATTCTGCTACATCTACCTATAATGCTCAATGAGAGACAAGAGTGTATATACTTGATATAATGGATTATTGTTAATACCTGAAAGGAGAAACAGTTGTGGGAAGCTTGCAATGCATGCTTATCGACGTCGTGTTTACCTTTGTGTACCAAAGTTGGAGCATCTGTGCTCCGCGGCACGCTGATTGGCTCGATCACGATCTGCCATCGAGTCCAGACCATCGGCTGTACAACCTCTATCGATTTCAATGTCACAATACATTTTTGGAAAAAAACACAATGCAATGACGACTTCTATTTCCATCATCGGTGCAGGCATTGCAGGCTTGACGCTGGGCCGCAGTCTCCTACGACGTGGTATTCCAGCGATCTTATACGAAAAAGCAGCTTTGAAGCCTAGATTCAACTATGGCATCACTTTGCATGCGACAGCTTACAAACCACTTCTCAAACTTCTCGACATTGATGAGGATGCGTTCAAGAGACGGGTAGCTGTCGACGCAGACAATGATGGCTATGGGAAGATTGGCTCAAGTGTAGAGCTTCCAAGTCATGACGGCTTGTACGACATTCATTCTTCTTTCCGCGCCAACAAAAACAAGCTTGAGCAGTTGTTGCGTGAGGGACTCGATATCCGGTGGGAACATTCATTCGAGAGCATAGAACCTGCTTCGAAAGGTACTAAGCTGCAGTTTCAGAATGGGGAGACAAATGCAGCAAACATCGTTATCGCAGCGGATGGCGTGCATTCGAGTATTCGGAGGCTCTTGTTGCCATCTGCACAGCCTAGTGTCCTGCCATATACCGTCTTCAATGGGAAGAAGAAACTCGATCGCGAGACATTCGACAAACTGTACGCGCCTGCCATGAGGGAAGCAAATGTCATTGAAGCGAAACATGATGACGTCGTGCTCAACATTAGCGTCAACGAGAAGAAAGCTGAGGAAGTCAGTATCAGCTGGATATACTCACGCGGAGTACGCAGTGACTCAGATCCACTCCACCAGCCGAACCGATCCAAGGAAGACGCCAAAAAGATTCCCGAGCAACTGTTCGAAGAAGCCCAGACTCTCAATGGTCTCCAGCCCCCTTTCTCAGAAGTTTTCGATGCGCAGAAGATGCGCAGTGACAGGATCCTTCATTGGCTCATGCGAACCCTACTTCCCCCGCTCTCAGACATCCAGAGGCTATCCGAAGACACTGGGGTGTGCTTCATAGGTGAAGCTGTTCATGCGGAACCGATTGTCGGGGGCAACGGCGCCAACGCAGCCATTCTCGATGCGCTCTCGCTCGCGGAGCAGATTGCCAATGGCGATCGGGCGGGCATCTCGAATTGGTACAAGGAAATGTACCCGGTGTGGACGAAAGGAGTGGAGCGGAGCCGAGAGAGTATTGCCAATGTGCATCGGCCGGTGAAGTCGGTTTCTGGTAATCTCTAAGGAAGAGGATGCTTGGTGCTCTTGGATATGCAATTCGTTCTCGCATTGTCAGAGAAATAGACAGATAGATACGAAGAGACCCGTGATACAATGCGTATACACAGCAAATCCACTCTGATCTTCCAGCGTGACACCCGTGACTACCACTTGACGTACGTACCCTAGATCACACCCTCATCTCCCCAGCCCCCCTTCTTCATAGCACTCCATACGTACCCCCAAACCCCTGGAACTCCCCTTGCAGCTATAATTCCTTCTTATCGCCCTTGCAGCCCCAACCTCCCTCCTCCCGCAAAACTCCAATACGGTCTAAAAAAGCAAAAAAAAGAATACTACAGTAGCGTACCATACTTCCCTCCCTACCCACTCCTACGCCCTTCCAAAGAACCCAAACCCCGGACCCCTCCCCTTCTAACCGCCAAATGCCCCCATGCGGGCACTACTTGCCCTTTACCCACTTTTGTACCACGGCCATGGACAGCCGTCTTAGCGCCAAGCTAAATACCCGCCGCTACAGCCACCAATGTAGTACGCCCACACCCACCCCTTCCGTCCTCGGTACCAATCACCCTTCTTACGGTTTTTTATTTTCTCTTCCGTCGTATGTTTGGGGGGGAGGGGGGTAAGGGTGTGCGGGGTATGTGTACGAGGGTGTTGTGTGGTAAGGGCGATGGAGACTAGCGAAGAGAGGATTAGGGCTGGGGAAGGAAAGGTCACGCAATGCTCTTTTTTTTTCTTGTGCTTTGGAGGATGTGGGCGCGTAGGAGTTGGGACTGAATAAGGCTAGGTGCCTATGAGAGGGAGGGAGGGCAGGTGGGACTACTAAGAATCTCGTGGCACAATGTCACTTGACGGGCTGGAGGGGGCGTGTTGGATGTTGGGATGTTGGATTACATAACTTCTACTACTACGTATTTTGCATGCGAGAACGAGAAAAAAAAAAGAGTGTAACTAGTAGGAAATAGCGCAAAAGAGACGAAGACGCCGTACGCTTGGGTTGTGCCACGGCGTAAGCAGCCTGATCTACGCTGTGCCGCAACGTGAGGCTGTACGTAGGTGTAGTACGGCGCGGTGGACCAGTGCAAAGGGAATTACGTACGGCACGGGTGTTGTTTGTGCCGCGGCGGCTGTGTGGAGAACGACGCGGCGAGATAAGGCGACTTCGGCGTAATGTGTGGAGTTGAGAAAGAGGGTGTTGGGCGAATGCAGGGTAGGAGAGTGGTCTCGTGCCATTTTGTCAGAGTGGCCAGAACGAGGCCAGTAGTATGGTTGATGTGGGTTCAGCTAAGGGTCCTTGTGTAACGCATTGACACGTTGACTATGGGTGGAGACTGACGAAAAGGATACGAGAGATCCACGCAGACATGTGAAGAAGAATATTCCAAGGTCACGATGTCAGTAGTCGAAAACCAAGATTGTAAGAGTTAGAGCACTGAATGAGTTGTTTATGTAAACCAAACAATGCATAGTTTCTATAAACGCCGTATTGCCTTAGATAGTGCCTTCCTTGCAAGACTAAAACATTGGTAAAATCCATGCATACTAGAACAGAAGGGGTATCGTGATTAAAAACAAGAAATATGAAGAAGAAAAAAAGATACAGTGACGAAGAAAAAGGTTGCACACTTGACCCCATGATCCCAGTCCTTGGAAAGATAGTTGTAGCCGCGCGCGACCACCCTATGCATAGACAAAAGGTCATGGGGAGCACAGAAAGTTTGGTGTTGTCGTAACATTGTCGAAACGAGCGTCGTAAGCCCAGCGCTTACTGCTTTGGACCATAGACCCAGTCTGACAGGCGTTAGTGGCCGAATGCAATGTGCAGACATGTGTTATTCTGTATGGACTTACATTGTGCAGCGTACTTGACTTCCCATGTAGGTGGCATGCCCTGGCATGTTGCAGGCTTGTTGCCACCAGCAGTCTCCACACGATAGACAGTGGTGATGCCTCCTTGGGCGATACCCGCCTTGTGCTGCAGGTAGAGCCACTGAACAGCAGGAAGACCGTTCTTTCCTGTGCATGCAGTCTTCGGTGCATCGACGGCGCCGAATTTCGCGACCTGGCACAGAGGGTATGGGGCACTGAGCTGGTCAAAGGCGAATGTTGGGGTGTTTGTTCCGGCAACATCGGCAAAGAAGTGGTGTCCAGCAACGTTTTGAAAGCCTTGAGCCTGAAGACTCATGTCGACTAGTTGGGGGGCCCATTCGGCCATGGAGAGGGCAAGGGGGGAGATGGTTGCAATCTTCCACTTGGCATCTCGGTCGTTGTTGAGTTTCGTTCCGATATCGTACAAGGTAGCTGGTGAAGGCAAACATTAGGACTGCTTCTGTATGCAATTGAAAAAAAAAGACTTACCAACAGCGCCAGTAGTACCAGGAACTGCGCTTGCGTTTGCACAGGTATAGTTTTGTGTACCGATTCCAAGTACAACATACTTGAGTGCCATACCATCCGGGCTTGTAAGGTCACTTTGAGGGAAGAGTTTGGCAAGATTATCGAGGTTCTTCGCGGGAGTGTAATTGTGTGGCTTTCCAGGAGCTGGGGGAAGAGCAGCTGCATAAGCAGAAGTGGCATAGAAGAATGCTGCTGTGATTGTGGAGAAGAGCATATTGACGAATGTTCGCACAAGTTGATGTTGGGAGAGTTGTTGATAATGCAATGTCTGAGTAGAACCAAAGGAGCCTGTCCCTTATTCTTTGCCAATGTCGAGGTGTTTGGAGAAGTACTTGTTGTATCACGACTTTCTGGCGCTGGCGGTTGGATACACTTATACCTTCTACACTGAACTTTGTCCTGGGCCGTTCGCCAGGCGGCCTACATGGGTGTGCATGCGCTGCCATGTGTATGTACGTCAACACAGACCACCATCCTGGCCAGATCTTTAATATCAATCCTTGAAGCGACATGCACACCAAAGGCTGGTGAGACCTGGACGTGGCTCTAGCGCGTCAGGGTGGCCGTTCTTGTGCATAACACTTTGCCGCTCCTGGCAAGCTGGGTAAAAGGCTTGTACCTCGTATAAGCGCTGATATGTGCAAACTCAAGCCCCAATCCAGGAATGTGGAGAGCGCTACGATGGGCATCTGTATTTCTGCTGAGCCGCGTTCCCGTGGCGCTGTCTCTTTTGGTGCTGAGCCTCTATTTTGCGCATGTGGGCGCGGACAGATGTTGGCCTCTTAGACAGCAGCTCCATAGCCAAGGCAGAAACCAACAACATGGCGAGGATTCAGCGTAGGGAGGTGGCATGGCTGTCTCACTCTTTCGATAGTTCTCAAAGGAATTTACAGTTTCAGTGTCGGACCTTCCACACAAAGGCCAAACGCCGGCACAGATTCGGTAATTCCACAGCTTGGAGGTTGGGTTCGCGCTGGTGTGCCCGAACGGGAGGCTGGCTGGAGGTCCGGGCACTTTGGCTTTCACCTGCTGTCCGTGCGCTGCAGGCGCCTTGCATACATCTGGCCGATAAAAAGACCTAATGTGGCCCAACAATGGCAGCAAATGACCCGATAGCGGTATGCACGCTCTATCGAAAGCCCCGCTTCAAGCCGTAATGTGGGCTAATTAATTGGGTCTATATCAGAGGCCAACGGAAGATACGGCAGTCATAAGCTCCATGTCAGACCGTTGCAACGTGGGAAGATAGCTGCCTCGTTGCCTGAGGATTACGGCATGGGTCGCGTTGGTGTCTCATCGATGACGACTCTATCAAAACACATTCTTTTTGCACAGCTTCGGTTAGGCGCGTCTAGCCTGACGCTCGCTGTGTAAGAGGTTGAGCATATTCTCTCCCGCTGACTCCAGGTTTTTTTGTTTCTGGCCCAGTTTTCTATATCAGTACGAGCAGGGGGTTCGCCTTGCCTAGTCATGGATACCGGCAAACATGCTTGGTGAAACCTCTATAGGGAAGCTGTATAAGCGGAAGTCTGCTGGGCAAAGTCGTGCTCCGGACTTCAAGATCCGAATATTCACAAGCCGCAAAATGCGCTCCTGTCGTCTGACAACCGATGGGAGTCATTCCTGGTAGGTATGCGATACGAGAGGGGCAATGTTGGCGTGTTAGTGTGCTGCATGGCGGCCAAAGGAGTGATATTAGCCTGCTTTCTTTTTCGCTGCGCTGCGCAGTCAGCTTGCACCTGTGGAGCACAGCAAGCTAGCGGGTGCGCCCGCGGTACATCATGGGACGACGTCGGGGAGACGATGAACAAAATCATCCCGACGTTTCGTCAGGACGCGCAAGGCAAAAACCGTGCGAAGGATCAGCGTACTCGAACGACTGTTTGTAAATCCATGGAGTTCGCTTGGTGAACTGTGTCAGAACACGAAGCGAACTGTTTCAGCGATCCCACACTACTCCGCGACGCTCCCCCAGCCTAACGAACGCCTGCAGGAGGCAGCCTTGATATTGTTGGCATCGCTCTTGGTAACGGTCCGTTTTGTTTTGATCCGCATTTTGGCGTGCTTCTCAAACAGCTTGACGGGTAGTTTCCATATAAGCTGTATAGTGACATCTAAGACTGTGACATCTGTCGTGACAGCAGATGCACCCCGTTCCGCCTGTAATCTATCGCGTGCTTCTGTTTCTCGGACCAGCCGAAGTCGGTACGGTGAATATTAAAGCCGTATCCAATTCAGGCGACCATGGGCAGTTGTACCATCTCCTTGGATCGCTTATCGCGGCTGTTAAGTTTCGAATTTCTCACACCTCTTACATGGCGTCGTGATACCTAACCCTTTTATTTCGAATATGTGTAGGAGCGAGCAAGATACGGCGAGAATGTGGATGGCAATCCCAAGGAAACCATGACTTTTGAACTCCAGACAGGGAATCGTTAAAAGTGGGGCAATTTCTCGCCACCACTCTTTCACCTGGCTTGACAGCTGTGCAGTACTGTACTTACTCCAACACCAAGGCACAATCAACCAGACCAGAACGAGGAGCCAGCCAAGGTATCATCATGGCAAGTGCAGATGACCACGAAACTTCAGGTTTTTGGCGACTGCTGGTGCCATTGACTAGCTTGCATCCAATAGTTGCAGGTATATGGCTTATCACCGTGGTAAGAACGTTTCCATCAACACCCTGCCGAAGCTCATGTTTCGATCAAGCCTATATTCGCATACGCCTTCTATAACGTGTTTCTGCATCCTCTCCGAGGTTACCCCGGGCCACTACTATGGCGCTGTTTCCGCTTCCCGTACGTTGTCTCCACCCAACGCGGGCAGATCCACAGGCGTTACAATGAGTTTCATGCCAAGTATGGGCCCATCGTACGCATAGCACCAAACGAGCTGTCTTACGCCGATGGTCGGGCCTTCAGAGACATCTATGTCAACAGGTCCGGACATCAGCCCTTTGAAAAGACGCGAACCTTCTTCAAGAAGATGTCGCCCGAGGAGCCAACTACAATTATGGATTGGCATGAAGATACTCACGCACGGTATCGACGTGCTTTTGCCAACGCTTTCTCAGAAAAGAGTCTCAAGAGTCAGGCTTCCGTTATAGAGCAGCATGTTGACGGCTTCATGGCACAACTGAAGAAACGTAACACTGTAGATCTCACCGACTGGTTCAATTTTCTCACTTTTGATCTGGCTGGGGATTTTTCTTATGGCGAGTCCTTTGGCTGTGTTGACAACGGGAAGGCCCATCCGTGGGTTGAGATTGCACAGGATTTTGGCAGGGGACTTTCTATGATCGCAGCAGTCAATCTTTACCCCCCTGTTGACAAGATCTTGCGATACATAATCCCAAAACGGATTCTGCAGCGGAGTGTAGACCATCGCCAGATGAGTTTTGCACAGGCCAAAAAACGGATAGCACAAAATATAGAGCGGCCGGACTGGGTAACACCAACGAAAAAGTACACTGATCAGAAAGACCACTTTACCGACCAGGAATGGGGCATGAACCTGTTGGTGATAGCTTTTGCTGGAAGCGAAACGACGGCCAGTGCATTGACCGCCATCACGAGAATGCTGGTTCAACACCGAGGTGTTCTCCATCGTTTGACACGTGAGATTCGAGAACAGTTTCAAAACGAGAGTGATATTACTGTCGCAACAACAAGCGACCTGCCGTTTCTCAACGCGGTAATACACGAAGGCATGCGTCTCGGCCCACCCGTTGTCATCGGATTACCCCGAGTCGTGCCAGAAGGTGGAGACCTGGTGTGTGATCGCTGGGTTCCCGGCGGAGTAAGATGCATTTTGTTCATGTCAAATGTTTCACAGCTGACACAATGTGTTCTAGACCTATGTCGTTTTCAACCAATTCTCCGCATTTCGCCAGTCGTACAATTTTTCCAACCCCAACTCATTTATTCCAGAGCGTTTTCTCACTCTCAACAAAAACGACGACATGACAGTATTTCAGCCCTTCCAGGTGGGCAGACATATGTGCATAGGCATGAAAGTTGCCTATCAGGAGTTGCGGCTCATACTTTCAAGGCTGTTGTGGAGTTTTAACTTGGCACTGAAGGATCCAAAAGATGTATTTGACTGGGGCGAGCAAAGTACCTATATTCTTTGGGTAAGTGTGTCGTTTTGGATTCTTGATGAAGTGATTGCTAAAGGCTGAGTAGGAAAAGAAACCGCTGGAAGTTGTACTGAGCCACGTGAACAAGTGAACTATGAAGTTGTGATACTTCGCTCAACGTTCAGTTCAAGCGCACGGGTGTGGAGATGAGACTAGGCAAGAATATAGTAATTGGATATTGCAAACTCAGCTTGTCGTGAGGTGGTAGTTATGGCGTCTTCTTCCATGACCGCAATTTTGTCTTTCTATCACTTATTCTTTCAGGTATTTGCTCCAAAGAAAAGTTAAGAATCATGGTACAAAGTGCGCAGAATCAGATTGCAGTTTCAATCACGTGATTCTTTACTGCCAGCACATGATGATTGAGACAGTCGTAGTCGTCGAGATGACCATGTTTGGCTTGAGGCCAGCACGCATGGATTGATCATCCAAATCGATGCTAATTTTGGACTTGTCTCGGTCAAGCACGCCATATTTACGCGTGCGTCTACAATGCGATAGCGTATATGTCGCGCTTGCTTCTGGCGGACTCGATGATCGGCATCCCGCATCAACACCTGCACCAACGTTGATGTAGCACCATTGCAGGAGAAAAATCATGGCCATAGTGAATCTCACGAAGCAGTCTTGCGAGCCTGGATAGCGCTTTGGTAGGCTTCCAAGTCAACATTGCCAGCATTCCAGATAAGGACGGCCTGAACCGAGACTGCCTTGCGCTTTGTCTGCTGCACATAGCCGATGACGTTGAGCCAGGTGCCAACATCCACGTCGGTATTTTTGGCGCGTTCCAGCACATGTTCAATATCTAGGTAGGCAATAACAGGGTCGGCAAGGACGGGATAGTTGTGTTTGAGGCGTAAGGTTGCCGTCTTCACAGTGTACTCATCGATACTGCATCAGTGTCAGCTGCTGCGTGTGTTAGTCTCACGGGCGCAATGTACCAGCCCAGGAAGCGGACTTTTGTCCCCCGCGCGCATTTTGGGAGGTCGCTGAGCAGCACAAGGCTCGAGGCAGGCGGAGCAGAAGACATGGTGGTTGAAAGCACAGAAGGCGGTGGAAACTAAGGCCGGGGTCTGTTGTGCACGTGCCAAGGTTAGTGCGAGCGACATCATACCCTCGTGCATCCAGGCCCGATTCATGACCAGCCAGGCAGCCCTCAAACACTTCACCACCGCACCACCAACACAACAAACACGCACGAATCTTCTTCTCTCAACGACTCCCCCGATACTTTCTTCATATTCCACACAGTACGTCCAAGCCGCGCATCGCCCCGCAGCCCCGCCATCCCACTCTTCGATAGGCACCCGAAGCGCCTATCTGAGCCCACGAGCGCAGCGTGCGATAAGTCCAGAGCTGATCGAGACATCTAGAGCTACGAAATCATGAGCGGCTGGGGTCTGGGCTGGTTTGGCGGCGGCCAGGCGAAGAAGGAGGCCCCCAAGAAGGCAATCCTTCAGCTTCGCGGCCAGCTCGAGATGCTGAACAAGAGAGAGAAGCATCTCCAAAACCAAATGGACGAGCAGGATGCCTTGGCGCGAAAGTACGTCTCTACCAACAAGCAAGGTACGTGCATTCCGGCCCCGTTGCTCCCCCAGATAACGTCGCTGACAGTCACCACAGCTGCCAAATCCGCATTACGGCGAAAGAAGCAGTTTGAGCATTCGCTCGAGCAGACAAGCTCCCAGATCATGACTCTTGAGCAGCAGATTTACTCCATCGAGTCGGCGAATATCAACAAGGAGACGCTGGATGCCATGAAGAATGCTGGTGCCGCCATGAAGCAGATACATGCTGGCCTAACTATTGACAAGGTCGACGACGTCATGTACGTCATACCCAAAATCGCTCATTCTCAACAACAGTCACTAATTGCATGTCTAGGGAAGGCTTGCGCGAACAACACGCTATTGGCGAAGAGATAAGCGAAGCAATTACCTCGAGCATTGCAAACAATGGTATCGACGAAGACGAGCTAGATGAGGAACTGGCAGAACTACAACAAGAGAAGTTGGACGAGCAAATGCTCAATACTGGCAGTGTCCCCATTCACGACGCGCCCTCGAGCCAAAAGTTGCCACAGGCTCCCAGCACGAATCCCAAGGCACCACAGCGAGTCGAGGAAGACGACGAGGAAGAGGAGCTGCGGAAACTGCAAGCGGAGATGGCCATGTAAAGCAGACATGGTCCACCAGACATGGACATTGCCCGTGGGCGGTGATGGTCTTTAGGCGTATGGCGATATGGTCAGAAGCCCAGGTTATAGGCTTCAACTTTTTTTTCTTCTCTAACCTTGATTCCTCGCCATTTTCCTTTTGTGTCACTTGGGGCATTTAGTTGTTTCTTTGGATCTTCGTATCGAATGCACCCAGACGTTTGTGTTTGGAGGCTGCACGTAATGAAGAATGGCAGGGAAATGGAGAATATTAATACCTTGCAATCTCCAACGAATCTCAGTGCGCTCTTTTTTCTTTGGCGACTTGTCCCCTTGGCTCATCTGACCCCCCTTTTTTTTGTCTGGTAGCCAATTACCACTCAACTCTTCTTTTGCCGGAAACAAGTGGCGCGGTACTCACCGATTCGACAAATTCCCAGAAAAGGGATGCTTCACAAGAAGGTGAGTTTCTGGAACAAAGGAGGACCTAAAAACAGGTAAATAGCCAATTTGCACATGTACACACGCAGACGGTAGTGAAAGGAGTAAGTGTAAAAGACAGGCTTTTTTGATCATTCATACATGCAGTAGTAGCCATAATAGCACATGGTGCTCCTATTTTTTTTTCTCTTCTCCATTCCAAATTTCACTTTTGAAAGCTTTACCATGGAGGTAAGCCAGAAAACACCCATCTACGCCCCATCACCAAAGAGAAAACTCCTGTTTGACCCCCTTCCAACAAAGCTACGCTGTTTGATGGGTATCGAGTACAGTAGTTTCGCTTCCTCACGTGCTAAACGCCGATAAGAAGTAGTCCGATAGGTTCAAAAAAAGCATAGTGATCTCTTTTTCCAACTTTTCAAAGGGTCAACCAAACACGGCGCGATTGCGCAAAAGAGTAGAGTTCAGTCGGCCAAAGGATGAAGGAGAAAAGAATATACATGCCATCGCTCAATAGCTAAAACATTACAAGAAAACAAAACTCCTACTCCGGCTTTGCAGCCTCTTCGCTCGGCTCGGCCTTGGTGCTCTCTTCTGGTCGGGCCGTGCTATCTGCAGTCGACTCAGCCAATGGATGCCGCAACGGGGTGCCGTTCGGGACTGCTGGTGAACCGGGAACAGGAGTGATTGGCTCGACGCTTGGTCGGTGTGAAGGAACTGCGGGAGGTGCTGGGGTTGCAGTCGAGGGTGGCGCCGAGGCAGGCGGTGCTGGCGATGCGCCAGTCATATTTGGCGTAAACTTTTGAGGCTCGCTGTTTTCACGCGGAAGTGCTGGCGACGCTGACTTGGTTCCCGAAGGAGCCTGTTCAGCTGGTTTTTGTTGCTGTTGCTGCTGCTGGTGTTGAGTCAACGTATTGGCTGCGGCATCTGCTGCGATTGCTGCTGCGGTGCCAGCGGCAGTAGCTGGTACAGTGACTGGCGTGTTCTCCGGTTTGACAGCAACATTTCTTTTGACATGCTTGTTGATACTCTCCACACCGCAAATGGACTCGAGCAACTTTCTTTCAGGTTCTGTCAATGATGCTTCGGGCACGGTCCTGTCTACGCACGCCCGGATAGCATTGTCTACCTTCTTTTGCTCGTCAGGCCCTGGCCTCTTCTCCAAGTACACGAGACGATACGCTTCGAGCTGGCGAATGAGGTCTGGATGTACACCAATGGGGTACCGACCGGAGGGATGTGGGGCTGAGCCTTCGTTTGATGAACCCTGATGCGCGGGACCTTGGTTCGGCGGTGGACCGTAAGGTGAGGCATTACGTTGAGCGGGTGATGCGGTAGGCGCATTGGCTTGTTGACCGGTTGCGGGGTACGGTGCATACGGACGAGGTGGTGCAGGACCATATGGACTGGCGCCAGTGGTAGCGTATGGTCCACCATAAGGGCTTGGTGCCGAGGGCCCACTATATGGTGATTGCTGTGGTGCGGCCGTGGGGAATAGGACACCATACTGCCCGCTTGACCCAGCTGCTGAGTTGGCGGCTGGTGTCTGCGCATTGGGTGGCGGGTAGGGCCGTGGAGGGTTTGCAGCTGGTGGGCTGGCGGCTGTGTTGCCACCAGCCCAAGGGGATGCATAGGGTGAAGGGTGGGGAGCATTTTGTGGCCCGTTGGAAGCAGCAGCATTACCTTCACCGCGAGCCATACTAGGAGGAAGACGAGGCTGCGCAAGGCTCGGGGGTAGTCTTGGCGGGGCTTGCGGCATAGCATGGGGCATGCCGGGATGATATGGATATCCAGGCTGGGGATAGGGCTGGTACCCATTGGGAGGCGGCTGATAGTATTGTGGTCGTGGTGCATGATTGAGTGGAGGACTAGCCTGTCTCTTCCTACGCTCCTTCTCGATCGAGACTTCGGGATTGATTCGCCAGAGGTATCCTTTGCCTTCTTTGTCGCCCTTCATGAAAGCATCGTGCTGGCCTAGGTTGTGACGCACGCTAGATTGCCAGCCGCTCGTAGTCGTCTTGAATTTGTACCAAGGATACTTGCGCTCAATGTAGGTGTAGATGGACTGCAGATTCATCTGACCAGTAGGGGAGGATGAGATGGCTTCGTGAATAAGAACCACATAGTTGGCAGTAGGACGTTGTAGCTGCTCTTCTGTGTAATCTTCGATACGCATCTCTGGGGAAGGGGTCCGTGGTGGTCTCATTGGCTTGGCTTGTTTCTGGAGACCAGACAAAGTACCATCACCATGCTCAGTAGACTCCACAACACCATCGTCTTCTCCGTCACCCGCATTCGACTCTTTACGCTTGGGCGCCTTTGGCTTAATTGTCGGTATGGGTATATCGGCAGGATCAATGCCAGCTGCCCTCGCTCTCTCAATGTCCTTGGCCTGCTTGATGAGCTGCGATCGCTGACGCTTCGACATGATGCCATCTTTGGGCGGCCTGCCAGGACCTTTGCGCTTTTCAACCACGTGACCGATAAGGTTTCGGGGCAAGTTGTGCTGAATGGCCATTTCTTCTGTGATGAGGCCATCTATGTCACCAGCTTCCAGTTCGCCTTCGTGTGGTTTGCGCAACAAAGGCGGGCTGTCGTTTGGCGGAGGCTTACTTGGCTGCTCAGTCTTGGTGACCACAGGGATGTCCTTGACAGACTCTTCGGCAGGTGCCTCGTCCTTGACAGTTGTCTTTGCAGGAGTCTTGGCTGGCGCCTTGCCCTTCTCCTTTGGCTCCTTTGGCTCCTTGGGTTCCTTTGGCTCTTTAGTCTCCTTGGACGGAATCGACTCCTTGTCCTTCGTGTCCTTCTGCTCCCTTGATTCCTTGCGCTCTTTCTGCGCTTTGAGTTCCTTGACAGACTCACGAGCAGATTCTTTCGTCTTGCCTGAATCCTTGACTTTGATCTTGACCTTCTTTGCTGGGGGCTCTTCGGGAGTGAGTTCACGGTGCTGGGGTTTCCTCTTGTGTGCCTTTTTGCTGTCTTTTGAGGTGGATGCTGGAGGTAGGTTCTTGATCTTGAGTTTGAGATTAGTCTTCTGGCGAGGCTTTGGTAGTGGCTCTTCGTAATCGTCCATTTCCTCGTCGGCCAATCCATCGTCATCGTCACTATCGCTCACAGGGTGGTGGTAATAGACATGACGCGGGTTGACACTCTGTTGGTCTTCGCTCTCAGAACTGATGTGTTCGTCGCTTTCCAGCTGGCCATTGCCGTTCTCAAAGGAAAAGCTCATAGGACGTGAGCCAGATTCTTGGCGATGTCGCTGCTGCTCGGTAAGCGCGACGTCGGGTAGATAGAAATGGATGTTGACGGCGCCTATGAGCAGGTGATCGCCGTGATCCAGGGGAACAGTTTCGCCCTTTGGATAGAAGTCGCCCTCATGATGCAGGCCGTTGTTGCCCAAGACGTGTATGCAAAAGTGGCCGGCATCAAAGTCGAAGAAAATCTTGGCATGCTCGCGCGATATACCCTTCGGTCCCAGAGAGCCGGTCTTGGCCATGATTTGCTGGGGATGTATGGGCACGAAGGGACAATCGTTGGGATCCTCGGGTACGTGGCCGTCAAACTGGGCAGGTACCTCAGGAAAAGTCTGCATGAGCATATTCTGAGGCGCGCGCTCGGCGGGGTTCTCTTCAGCAGGTTCGCCAGCTGGATGGGAGTTTGAACTGAGAGAGTGGGAGGCATTGCTCTGGCGGCGCTGCTGAAACTCCATTGGCATGGACTCGATGGGTACGTTGACGATGCCACCTTTTTCGGAGATGACGCTGCGAGCACCGCGACGGTCGCGCTTCTTCTTCTTGCGGTCCTTTTTCCCGTTGAGGTACTCCTCTGCGGCTTTGGTATGGCCTTTGGCATGCAGCGCCTCGGCCTTGATGAGGCGCTTCATGTCACGGTGAGCGAGGTGGATGTTGCGCCCGAGCGTGATCTGGTAGGTGTGCATGTAGTAGGAGCCGTCATCGAAGCGTAGGCGCGCAAAAGCCGTGAGGCGCTCATTTGTGGTTGGGGGCATGAAGGGGTCCATGGCAGGGAAGGCAGAGGCGGAGGCGCCGACATCCATGGGCAGCGGAGCAGCTATGGCGGTCGTTGCAGCCATGCCGCCGTTCATGTCGCCATTCATATCGGCAGACTGGGCGAGGTTGATGGGGTCGGCGAGAGGGGAGATTTGGGGATGGCTGGGGGTATTGGCCGTGTTCATGTTGTCGATGGTGTCCATGGGGCCGGGGTTGGCAGGCGCATCCTCTGCGCTGGGGGCTGGCAGGGCTGGCGGCGCATCGGCGGTGGTGGTAGTGGTGGTGGAAGCCATCTCGGGAGCGCGCTGGTGGTGGATGGATGGGTGGCCGGGGGCGGGGGAGTCATCTTGGGCGACGACATGGTGGAGCTGCTCGCTAGACGGGGCTACGGCCATGCTGCTGCCGCCATGTTCGGAGGGAGTTGGGCGGTGGTTGGGTGTTGTGGCTATCGTGGTGGCTATCGGGCGGTGGTGCTGGTCGTGGGTGAGGGCGAGAGCGAGGTGAGGTTTTGGGCCGGGGGTCGTGGATGGCGCCCTCTGCACACGGACGCGGTTTAGCGGCGCGCTTGTTTTTTCTCGTGATCGAGCAGGCCGTGGGCGGATATCGCGCAACACGTATACAAGAGAGACAGCAGGCAAAAAGGCCGGAGTCGAGCTGTCGCAAACAAGCTGTGTTGTCGGAGAGAGAGGCTTGCGCCGGGTCTAATCTTGCTGCACGTGCCATGGCCGCAGAACCATCGTACTTTCTTAGTATAGCAGGGCTATTGCTCCTTCCATACTAGTCGGGCCCGCCTCGTCCAGCCAGTCGCCCACAATTACCATCACCATCATCATCAATCGCATCAAAGCGCTGCACACCACCGTACTACACTACACTACACTACACTACTCTACTCTACTCTAATCTACACTACTCTACACCCCATATCGCTGCACCACACGATACGACACTACACGGCGAAGCACCTCAATGGCTCCCAAAAAGAAAACCCCGCCCGCCGCATCCACCAAGTCCGCCCCATCACCCCAGCCCGCACACACCCTGCCCAATTGGCCTGCCTTCACTCCTCTTGTACCAGAAGCAGACCTAGCGCTGCAACAAGTCCTCCCCAATCAAATCATTACCATTCCCAACTTCTGGCCAGCGGCGCTATGCAAGACCTATGTATCCTTTTTATCTTCACTGCCACTGACTACCACTCCTGGAAAACCCAAAAAGGGCGATGCAGTGCGAGTCAATGATCGCTTCCAGATTGACGACCCTGCCTTTGCTGAACGGTTGTGGAGTCAGACGGCATTGAAGAATCTTGTCACGGGCGCGTTGGGCTTGGATGAGAAGCAGCGGCACAGTCTGTGGGGCGGCGACGTCGTTGGTCTCAATCCCAACATCCGCATCTACCGCTACACCAAAGGCCAGTTCTTTGACCAGCATTGTACGTCGCTGCCGTCTCCTCGCTTGCCAACCAGCCCTACCTAGTCACAACGCCAGTTACTGCATGCCACTGACTCGCCCAGATGATGATTCAAACAATGTCACCATTCCCGGCTCACCACCAGTCCAGGCACGAACCACTTGGACCTTGCTGCTTTACCTCACCTCTCATGCAACCGGATGCATCGGTGGAGAAACTGTCTTTTACCTAGACCCACCCAAGTCCAAGTCCAAGACCAGAGGCCCTCCACCCGAGCCGCTGCAAGTGGACCTCCAAGTCGGCCTTGCCCTTTTGCACCGCCATGGCCCAGATTGTATGCTGCACGAGGGGCGCCAAGTCGTCGACGGCGAGAAATGGGTAATCAGAAGCGACCTATGCGTCAAACGCTGATGAGTCCGGTTCCTCCAACCAAGTTTTGGTTCAGAGCTGATTGCCCTATTCAACAAGCCCTCTCTCTTGCGGTCTGGTTCCTGTTAAAAAATCGCAACACCAACCCCGGAACGCCCAGGTGCAAGTGACATTGCGCTTGTTGTCGAAATGCATCACCATGTTGCATACTCATCATGTGCTTGCCAGACACCGATGGCATCTCACAGTCACCTCGACGTTGTGTAAGCTGGTTAATACATCGAACTCGTTAAATCACCAAAGTACGGCAAGGCTCCAGACATATTTTCCATTGGTGACTTTAACACTCATCATACATCACACAAGCTGAGGCTTGAACAGGGAACAAGGCCAACAGAACCATGTCTCTTTCGAGGAGGCTACGTACACACAACAGTGCATTCTGTTTTCTCTGTAGACCTCAACCTCCCTGGCCTATCTTGGCTCGTGCGCAATGCCTATCTCCATCTGTTTTAGGCTATGATTACTTCCTGCACGTGTACCACACTTCTCCTCCGACATCGCCACATTGAGCATTGGAGCACACCTGCCTGTCACCGACCGAATCGTAGTGCTTTTTACAAACAGAGTGATACCAGCCGGGATTAGAAGCAAAATTTGCTGACACGACCAGTTCCGCCTTGTCCTTCTTGTCAAATGCCAAAACGTCCCAATGAGATCCATCGGCCACTTGACAGTGAGAACAACCCTCGCCGTTGGAACGCTTACCATCGTTGTAACGGTGGCATGGAACACATACCCACCCCGTCGGTGCATCGTCCCGGTATCTTCGTGCACGTGCGGTTTCGTCCACTTCGTTGTTGTGTATTCTACGCGCTGCGAATCCCGCAAGTTCCGAGTGAGGCTCGCGTGGTCCTTCTTTGGGAGAAGACATGCAGCACCCCATTTGAGAGGTCTTGTGCTCGAGCGGAACAACTTACCAGTGGAAATGCCCACGGGCGGATTATATGTCTACTTCCTGTGTGTGCTTGCTTCATTCAGGTTGATTGCTTCATCCATCACGCATGACTGCGCTGGAAAGCCCTATGGCCGACTTGTATTCTTTTTGTCAAATGACTTCCTCATCATATGAGCAAATTTTGCAGTATCAATCATGTTAGTTACTTGTGGCACCAGTAGGTGACCAGCAGGGTGAACTTGTAGACTAGCTTTGTGCCAGGAATGCTTTTCACACTGGTATAAGTGTCTTGCTGTAACCCAGACTGAATCCATGTTCCCTATGTATTGCAATAGAACTGCTTACAAAAACGTCAAATATACTAGTATACTCGCAAAACTCACACTATTTTCTATTACGAAATAGAAATTGAACATGTACTTTGCATGTACTCTAGCCAACAAGTTCGACAAAGTACACAATTCATAGGATCTGTCAATGGTGTCTTAGCCGTCCTTTCCTTCTGCGCCACCAGAGTATTTTCAGAATTCGATTGGACTCATGTGAAGGCGGGAATAACGTGCAGATAGTAACAAGAATGCATATACCCGTACCAAGGCGTAACGCCTGCTGGAACTGACCCTATCAAGGTGCGCGACCATGTTGCACGACTTTTGCGAGACATGCACAGCCTTGCGCTCGTGCGCACTGAAGGATCCCGTTCAAATACGAAGATGTGCCGCCCTTGTGGACCACTCCCTATCACCACTTCTTCTTCTCTTCTTTATGGCTGAACCCACGAATTCGAAAGTAGAAACCCCAAGCGCCCCGGTGCCTGAGAAAGCGACAGATACCCCTGGTCAGAGACAAGAGGAGGCTTCCGCGTTTGTGCGCTCGTGGGAAGGGTACCCCAAAGGCTATCCTATGCTGGCCGAACGCATCGCTTTGAAACCACAGACAGCTATCTATCGTAGATTCGCAGCTCTAAATTCTCGGCGTATACTGTATCTTCATGCCGAGCTATGCATCCTGGAGAAACGTCTGCGGAAAATCGAGAAAGAAGAGAAAGAGCGAGACGATGGATCAGGCAAAAGACCATCTCATAGATACGCAGCCGACTACGAGCGCATGCTCGAACATCAAGATGGCGATGGGAAACCGCATTTGGAACTTCTCGGGACGATTGGTGAGAAATTGAACCAATACAGTGAGTTAATGTCACTAGCAATACAGACGAAGGGCAATATGACTAAAACACTACAATTCTAGATGAAGCACTGCTACAAGTCTCATCCCTATCCCAGATCCCAGCACCGCAGAAATTTGACCTCACCGACCTCTACCACTTCCTGGGAAGCGAGTCCATGGGGCCGTGCTGGCTCGCGGGTACTGATCATGGCACTTGGGGCGCTTGGGACAACCCCGAGCACCATGCACCAGACTTAGTTGGAGTACATCCTCGCCCAAGGGCTGATGGTTTCTCGCAATGGATTGTAGAGAAGTCGGTACGTCTGTTTTCCTGTGGACTCGGCCGTTTCACAAAAGGCACACCCAACCTGGGTCGCAGAGTGTATTATGACTCGGATGTCCTGAAAATCACGTCTTGGATCACGTGTATCCTGGCATCGCTACTGCCCATTGCCTCAATTTTGGTCCTGCTGAATGTGCCATCGCTCAAGGGCAGGCTTTGGGTCATTGCTGCCTCCAATATCCTGATGAGCGTGTGTTTGAGGATGTTTACAGAGGCGAAGAAGTCAGAAGCATTTGCCATTACCGCTGCGTAAGTCGATCCTTTACGAACATGTTTTCTAAGCTTTGTGCTGACACTTGTAGCTTTGCTGCTGTTCAGGTGGTGTTTGTAGGAACGGATCGTGATCCGGGGGCCCGGTGAGCGCTTGTCGTTTGGTGGTGGCACTCAGGTGTTGTCTTTCATTATAGTATCAACCATCCCTCGTGACTTATATACTAGTACTGTATGTGTTTGTATGTGGACTATATTGGGCTTGTCCCTAGATGGAAAACGTTGTTTTCTCGGAAATCAATATAGCCAGAGGAACATTACTCTTCAGCTCAATTCAAACGTCTGACATTGTAATTGTTATGTGTTACTCCGAATGATAGGGCATGCCATGCAATAGGCCCGAGATTTTCACATCCGATGCTTCCATGCCGAGGCGCTAGTTATGCTCCGCCTCGTCGACTTCACCCATTCCCATTACGCGAACATTTCGCATAGTATACTCCGTGTCAGCATCATGATGGAGTCGCATAGCAGCTATGTCGCATACCCTGTTGGTCATAATGTGCAGTTCATCGGCATGAGACATATCAACTCTCTCGATCAATGAATCTGGTAGGTAAGCACGGCTACATTTCCACAACCGCACTGGCCTCGAGCAATTCCATGTCAGACCATAGCAACTCCAACCGTGTCTTGATACTACTTACCCCGATCTGGCGCTTGGAAATCTGACGCATTACTTTCACCCCAGGATATCCCAAGAACAACCCCGCAATCTGGCCAGCCTGCCGTGGCATGCCTAGAACGCTGGGCACATCAAGCTTAGTTGCTGTGATCGGATTGGTCCGCCCTTCGTCCATCTCATATCCTCCTGGGAGTTTCTTCGTCTCGGCGGGCCATGCTTGCTCGGCATAACTTGCATCTCAGCACCAGACTGGCGGTACTGAGCGCGGTGGCGGCTAGTGACTCTAGGACTAACTACCATTCTTGGGCAAACGTCCTTCACCCAGGCTTTCCCCGCCATTCTTCATGTCTTTGCTTGTCTTGGTATTGGCCTACAGGACCGAATTGGCCATTCCAATCCACGTGTCTATCGTACATGATGATGACCCGGGAGCTAGTGACTGTTTTCATTGGATCAAAAAAGCTTCGCGGAGTACTGCTCTGGCCAAGAGCTGAAAATCACCTCGGCTGGAACCATCTTGATGGTAGTATAAATGTTGGGGAGCGCATGCCCCAGAATTTCCCCCTTGCAGATCTTCGTGGTTGATCTCACCCTTTGGTTCTCGATCCAGTCTGACGACCCACTCTCTACACCATGAGTAACGAGACAGAAGAAAAGGTCGATGCAGTCCTCAAGGAGAGCTTGACTCCACCTGCAGCCGGCAGCGCCAGTGGCGACTACATCTTTGACGAGATTGAGGAGAAGAAGCTGGTCCGCAAGGTGGACTGGAGGCTCCTACCCATATTAGGGGCTCTGTACTCCATTGCGCTAATCGACCGTACAAATGTAAGTAGAGGGACTCGGCAGGCAATTCTCTTATGGAACACTCCTAACAGAACTCTTAGATTTCCAATGCCCGTGTCGCAGGCATGGGACAGGACCTTCGTCTCGATATCGGGGACCGATATACAATTGTGCTCGTCATGTTCTTCCCTACCTACTTTCTCCTCGAACTACCTTCCAACATCGTGCTGCGCAAAGTGGGAAGTGCAAACTGGCTGTCTTTCATCGCAGTGTCTTGGGGCGCCGTGATGATTGGCCAGGCCTTTGTGAAGAGCTGGATTTCACTTACTATATGCCGTGTGCTGCTGGGAGCCTTTGAGGCTGGGTAAGTAACCTGGCCTTCAATCTCCTAGCCTTGAAACTGTTAGCTAATGACAAAATACTCTAGCTTCTTCCCCGGTTGCGTTTATCTCATTACGTGTTGGTACCGCCGCTATGAAACACAGAAAAGGTAAAGCAAGCGCTTAGGCAATCACAACACTGGACAAACAAGCTAACCTATCTTTTAGGTTGGGCTTGTTCTACCTCTTCTCAGTTGGCATCGGTGGCCTGGCAAGTATTCTAGCCTATGGCTTGATGCAGATGGAAGGCCTTTCAGGAGTCCGAGGGTAAGCAGATGACAGCCACAACCCCCAACCGCTACTTGGGCATAAGTGTACTGACATGTAGCACAGTTGGCAATGGATCTTCATAATTGAAGGAATCATTACAGTCGTCGTCGCCGTCGCCGCCTGGTTCATCATCCTGGATTTCCCCGACAAGGCCGAGAAGAAGGGTTTCCTTACTTCCACCGAAGCAGCTGTGATCATGCAACGCATTGAAGACGACCGCGGCGACTCTGTCGATGACCCGCTGACGTGGGCAAAATTCGGACTGCATGTCAGAGATATCAAGTTGTGGGGATACGCGACGCTCTTCATGAGCACTACAATGCCTGCATACGCTTTCAGCTACTTCCTCCCTGTTATCCTGCTCGGCATGGGTTACAGTGCAGGGCAAGCCAACGCCCTCGCTGCCCCACCCAGTCTCGTTGCCATGTTCGGAGCCTTTGCCTTTGCATGGCTGGGCGATAAGTACCGAGTTCGAGCTCCGGTCATCGCAGCGCAGTCTATCATTACTATCGTCGGGCTTATGATTGTTGCTTACGCCGAAAACAACGGGGCAAGATATTTTGGCACATTCCTTGGCGTTTGCGGATGCCAGGGTAATGTACCTGCTATCCTTGCCTACCAAAGCAACAATATTCGCGGCCAGAGTAAGAGATCGGTTGGCAGTGCGCTGCAGATTGGATTCGGAGCCATTGGTGGCATCATTGCGTCGACCGTCTTCACGCAAAAGGAAGCGCCCAGGTATCTCACGGGACTCTGGGTTACTGCTGCTTTGCAGTTTTACATTCTGGGTGTCCTAATATGCTTTACAGTGTATTTCCGGAAGCAAAATGCGGTGGTTGAGAAGCAAAGGGCGAACGGGGAGCCCCTGGCTGAGAGGGAAGGACAGGCGGGGTTCAAGTACACGCTCTAAGGCGTGGACGAGTCTTGCTGTGTATGATAACATCTCTTTTGCAAACACGGTCAAGGAGTAGTACAAAGGAATACTATGCATATACTATGCTGCACCCCGCTTGTACTACTATTTTGCGCCTTTCTCTCCGCGGTTAAGCGTGACACGATGACGTTTTCTGCCCAACCACTACGTGTCGCAGGTTGGACCCATGTCTCCTTGTCTCAGCCTCACTCGTAATAGCAACAGCTCCTCAGTCAGCAACGCCATGTGCCTCAGCTTGGCTCCCTAGCCCTGCTTGAGGCATAATTACTTCTTTTTTCTTTGCACTTGTACACTCTTGCAAGCCTATCTTCCTTCGCATCCCATTCACTCGCGAACATACGCACATACAGTACTTAATCGTAGTCGCTAATCGTCAACACCCTGACCCCAAGTCCGGCTCAGCGCTTTTATAAGCATATACGCACATACAACCACGCGCGCAGGCGCGACACAGCCCAAAATACCACACACCTTCTACCCCCCATCTACACACTATCTCGACGTCTCCCACTCTGCACCCCAACCATGGGCTCAAAACACCACTTACACGTCGCCCACCAGATTCCTCCTCACATGCACCCAGCTGAAGTCATTGCCACACTCCACGATCACGAGACCGCCCTCACACTGCAAGCGCTCACCTGCGGCCACACAAAAGCGCCCTCGACCTCGCCTTCGACCCTCAAAGACACTTACTGGTACCCACCAGACCAGTATCCCGTCTCCACCTACAACGTCACAGAATGCATAACATGGTTCCCTGGCATCGGCGAGCTTGGCAAAAAATACATTACCTTCCCAAGTTGTTTTCAGGACACACGACAGGGACTCAAGACAAGGGCGGATGCCGCTGCCGGTGTGACTGTGCGTGCTGAGTTCCGGGTGGTGGAGAATGGCGAGGCGGGGAGCGAGGTCGAGGGCGAAGGTATGGGTGTCGGGGACGCCAAGTGGGTCCTCGTTGAAGACGTAGAGGTTACATGTGCGTGGTATCTCATGCCATTCGTCAAGGGCAAAATGGAGCTCGCGCACCGCGATGTGTGCCGCAAGATCATCGACAGGGTCGAACATAAGAAGCGAAGTTCGATGACGGCGGTCCAAAGACAGGACAGTGGAGCCGAAGCATCAGAAGATTTGAATACTGGCTTTCTTCAGGAGACTAGAGAGCATCACAAGAAACCACAGCCCGTGCAGTTCGGGCAGACACATCAGACCTTTGAGGCAGATGCAGTGGATACACAGAGGACGGCGATACCTAATGCGGATCTGCCGGACAAGATTACGTATAGGTGAATCAATCACAGTCGTTCTGTGTATTCCACAATACCTTTTGGATGCCATGACCCGCACAATATTTCCCAAGTAACAAATAACGCGTTGGATCAAGTCGCATGTTGCTCATAGTAGGCTACTTTTACATACTTTTGCTGGCGATGATGTACATTAGCCTACATGCTCACTAGTCACGATAGTATCACTCTCAGGAAGTAGTCATGCATTACGTGATGCAGTTGAAGAATGAACAAAGAAAGACTCCCCATTATCGAAATCCAGTATGGAGCATGGCCAAGACTTCGGAAATAAAGCATTGGGACGAACGACGATCATAACACGGACCTTGGCAACGGATCATGGTACCAGAAAGTCTTCAATTTTCCTACTGTGCATGGTCACTTGGTGGTAGATCTCCGCTAGCTCATTCACAATAGCACACCTACATACATCGCGTGTTCACTGTGCGTTTCTGCACCTAGATAAATAAGAAATATATCAATATCCTGACGTACCTTGGATCGGGTCTCGACTTTGCCCGCTGGAAAGACATGTGCGGGCTAAGAAAGTAATATAAAGTCGTGCTTCCTGAAGCGTGTTCAATTATCCATCTTCCAATAATCATCCATTCACCATCACTTTCCAATATAATCTTCCATCACCTACTACCGATCGAAAAATGAGAGCTTCGTGGATCCTATTCGCCTCTACGCTGTGCACTAGCGCCTACTCCCAAAGCTTCCAAGCATCAGGCTCTGCCCAGCAAGTACTTGACTCGTCCGATGTATTCAGCAATTCGTATAAATGCGAAAATGGTGAGTAATCTCACAGCTTTTTCTTTTGAAAACATGTCGATACTAATATTGACAATTAGGTGCCAAACCCACCCCCAACTGTGTCCATCCGTCGGAGAAGCCTACTTGCGCCTGTACTTGCAGCAACGGCATTACTTTCAACCAGCCACTCTCGCCCAACCCTCCAACCTACCCATCCGACGAAGCCTGCCAAAAAGCCAAAGCCGACTGCCTTTTGCGTGAGCAGCAACTAAACGCCCAACTCACCGAAGCCCAGCAAAGCGCCGCCGCTGAACTCAACAAGATCAAACAAGAGCACCTACTCCGCGAGCAAGACCTCCTCCAAAAAGAGCAGCAGCTAACCGACGAGCTCAACAGCCTGCGCAGCCCACCCTGGAAATACATCGGTTGCTACACCGACAACAACTACCGCATGCTACGAGATGGCTTCAAGAAAGACGACAACATGACGCGCGATATGTGCGCGGCATTCTGCAAGGGCCGCAAGTACTACGGTGTACAGTACTCGGTTGAATGCTTCTGTGGCGATTCGTTCATGACTGCGACGGAAAACGTGCCAGAGAATAAGTGCAGTATGAAGTGTGGTGGAGGTACCCTGAATTGTGGAGGGTCGCATAAGATGAATATCTTTGAGAAGGTGTATTAGAACTTGCTTGGATGCGGGGAGCGAGAGAGGGTCTTTTGGGGGTGTGCGATGTGAGCGGCAAAGTTTTGTTGTTAGGAGGAGGTGGGATGGAATGTCGGGGCTAGTTGAAGAAAACATGCAGATCAATTTGGTAGCAAGTAATTGGAGCATGATATGCCGTGGGCGGTAGTAGTCGGTAGCGGTTAAATTGGTTTGAAGAGAATAGACTTGACTTTGATACCTGCAATCGTGGTAATGTCCCATTACCTGACTAGTAATATTCAGAGCAACCACGGTCGTTGCCGATCATAGTCGCGTAAAGCTAGCAAGACAAGGAATGAAGTTTGCACTTTCTTTCGTTCCTATGTACAACCTATCCGGAGGACACTTGTACTCTGCGCACCACAAAAGTCATAAAATATGCCTCTGGTCCACATAACCAGAGTAGATTGGGGTCTGCAGGTTGTCGTCCTGTCTCCACCTCCCACGAGGTATTCGTTTCTCTTCCAACCTGGCCCCATAATCGCTTCCAGCTTTCATGGCTATGCATGAAGAACTTCCCAGTGTCGGCGTGATACCCCTCGGTCTCCTGGTCCGTTCCCATATGTCCCCCAAATACCAAGAACTCACAGTTTGGTTTGGATAACCTTACTAGCCGATGAGCTAGCCGCAACTGCTCGTCCCACGTAAAGAGATGGAAGAAGTACTGGGCGTGGACTATGCTGATCTTTCCATCCAGCTGATCCAGGTCGGAGGGCGTTTCAAAGATGTTCGCAACGATGAACTTTGACGCTAGATATTCCTTGTCAAGAAATAATTCGTATCCCAGATTTACAAGTTCCGTCTTTAACTCGCATCCGTACAAGTTCTCCGCCGGCATACCATCAGTAACCTAAATTCATATTAGTAAGCCCATGATATCGATGTAGCTATCGCATGTGTAGAGGTCGTATACCATTCTGCGAATCTCTTGGCCAAGGCAGCAGCCGATATCGAGAAGTTTTTCCCCGTTTAGGACACGTTTCTTAACTTCGGGGTAGCATGGTGCCTCTCGTGCTTTCAGGTTTAGGAAGTAATATCCCCCAATGCATGGATAGTGGGACTGAGCATCACGTAAGAGTCAGATCATGTTCGTGCCATATTTGTACCGCTTACAATTTGGTAGTTACGCTTTATCTCGCTGCATTATCATCAGTGTCGGGCATGTCTTAGACTCATGATCCACATACCACTTGCTTAATGTGCTCTGCGACACGCTCGGCGGGGATTTTGCTGTGTTTCTCAAAGACCTCTCTTATGGCAGGTTCAATCGTTTCCGGCACCTCCTTGTACCAAGATGCGTGTGAAGATTCAGGACTCATGGTACCTGACGATGCAAAAATAATGCAGAAAGGTGCAAATAGCGGTAGGCTTTGTGTGTGAAAATCGTAAAATAAGTGAGCCTCTTGAAATCTCCAACCATTCACCGCTATTCGAAAAGCAATACCAACTGTCGCTCCGCTGAATTCTACCCCAATTTTGTAAGTCCGAAGGTCTTATTGGGTCAGTGCTCATGTAAAGCGATCTTGTAGTATCTATTGTCCACTAGGAAGACATCGTTCATAGTCAGATGACAGCTAGACTCATGAGAGGGATTTATCGTGTGACCCAAGATGGTGGGCGCCTTACCTTTATCTTGAATTACATCCTCCGTTCGAACTTATTGGTAGTAAACTAAATGCAAGCGTGATTCAAGCGTGCATATACGAAAGTTTATTACTATTCATGACCACGTGATGATATCCCGTTCGCGTTTAGTTTCCGCGGTTAGCCTGCAGCGAGAACAGAAACCCTCATCATTTCTCGCAGAGAGGAGCAGAATCTCGTCGTCGTTTCAATAAACTATCCAGAGTAGGTTACTGCTGGCCTTGAGCCAAGGCTTCGTTCATACATCGTCAATGGTCGCAATGCAATAATGTGGAGATGAGCACATTGCTTCTCTCTGATAGCACAACGTATCTTCTGGGCATATTGGGGTGTAGCGCTCGTTCCAGCGCCTGACTGGCTCCACTCATGTCCGAATTACTGCGTACTATGGTATTGAGTAGTGTAAGAAAAGCCCTTGTTACGATAACTAGTCAGAAAGACGCTAGAGATAGTAGCGTTCTAACCTGTTCTAGAAACTTTGACAAGTGTCAGCATATTTGAGAGGGTTTCGTACGCTATAATGTAGCCAAAAGTCATGAGAAAGAGCGGAACATGTAGCAGAAAATTCTTTCAAGAGTCCTAAACACCCATTCAAGCTGAGAGAGTAAGGGCCAGATTCACATCGTTTCGCATGTTTCTTCACTGCTGATTGGCTAAAACAGATTTCGCAGAACATAACTGTTTTTGATAGCTAACGGCTTATTAAACATGAATGGAAAACGGGCTATATTGTCCTATTCGGCAACCGTGTGACCCTTCTCACTGAGAATCTGTCCAAAGGCTTCTTCTAACAATCCTAAACCTTCGTCGATTTCCGCCTCCGTCACGGTAACAGGGGGAGCAAGCCGAAAAACACCTCCCATACCCGGCAAGTTTACCACATTACATGAGAGACCGAGCTGGAGAGCACGATTGGAAACGGCTTGGCCAAGTTCAGGTCCAGGTGCCTTGGTTTCCGGATTGGATATGATCTCGATTGCCTGGAAGAGGCCGCGTCCACGAACATCGCCAATACACCAAAACTTCTTCTGTAGCCTAAGAAGTCCTTGTCGCAGCTGTTCTCCACGTTCAGCAGCTTTCTGTGGTATATTATCACGCTCCACGATCTCGAGAACCTTGCAGCCAACTGCTGCAGTAAGCGGGTCATTCAAGTGGGTAGTTAACCACAGAAAACCTGAATTGCGGCACTTCTCTTCGATCTCAGCAGTAGTAGTGACAGAAGCAAGGGGAAGACCACAACCGAGAGTCTTGGAAAGACAAAGAATATCAGGGACGATGTTGTCTTCTTCGTAGGCAAACATTTGACCAGTACGGCCAATGCCGGTTTGTGCTTCATCCATAATGATGAGCATATCACGCTTCCTGCACTCTTCCTCCATGCGCTTCAAATATCCTTTGGGAGGTACTAGAATCCCTCCAGTAGAGAGGATAGGTTCCATGATAAAAGCAGCAAGGGAGCCCACGCTCTGCCGGTCAATCATGGACCATCCATATTCAAGCTCCGTTTCCCAATCATAGGACCCGTCAGCCTTGCGAAACACAGAGCGGTATGGGTAGGGAGCAGGGAAGGCGAGCTGGCCAGGCATTGTAGGTCCACCATTTCTACGCCCAGCAGAGTAAGTAGCTGATCCCGAGCCTTGTGTTAGACCGTGATAGCTGGCCGAGAAAGCGATGACCTCAAACTTTCCTGTGGCGCACTTCGCTATTTTGAGAGCAGCCTCAGTGGTTTCAGAACCTGTGTTGAGGAGGAATGTTTTGCAAAGCTGGGGTGGCAAAAAGGTGGACAACCGGCGAGCCAGTTCAACAACAGGTGCGGTAACCATGTTGCTCAGCAAGTGATCTAGATCGCCGACATACTTCCGCACCACCTCTACGACCTCTGGGTGGGAGTGTCCCAGGAGAGAGCTCATTTGACCGGATGTGAAATCAAGAATGGACCTGCCGTTGGAATCGTGCAGCCGTACCCCCTGGGCCTTGGTGATGATGGCTGGGGAGAACGGAACCCCAGTGTACATGAGGTACTTGTCGACATCTTCCCAGAACTTTGTTCGTTCGCTGTTAACCAACTGGCTACCCATTTCGGTAATGTGTTTGAGCGATTTGAAGGATCCGCTGAGGAGGCGAATGAAGAGGGACTCTGTGAACGACGGATTTGGTGTGTAGCTCGTGTGATGCGAGAAGAGAACCTATGCAGGGATTTCAATGAACAAGAAAACAATCTTTCTCTATCTTTCGTTTAGACGTTTCATACCGAATACATGAGCTTTATACATGTGTCGCCATATACGAATGATACCATACTAACATGTAGGTGTCGATGGCAAGTATCTCATGATTGGCTTGCGGTGGGGTTGTCGATCCCGCGGCCCCACACGCGCGGGAGGTACGCCGCGGGAATGTATTTCTCCTATCATAGGATCAACACACGAATACCAATGCTAGCGAAGACACTCTGTCCACTTTTTATTCTAAAAATCCGGGGCAAACAAGGATGACTTAAACCTTGGTTGCCAACGTTCATCGTCTCAAGTTGTCTCCAAGCACCCTGACCGAAGCGCTGACAGCTCGCAAAATGGCTAGGTTCCGCGCAGGAAACAATCACAATATTGATCAATGGACGTCATCTTACTCCTCTTTCCGTGTCGCCGTATTTCCCTTGATAAATTACCTAAGTGGCCGCCAGTGCCGAATCACATCTCACATTTTGGGCATTCGAGCCTCTGCTTCCCACCATATAAAATGAAGCTACCAGAATAGGCACGCCGGTTTGCTTTGGTTTCCTTCAGCGTATCATTTTACTGTGTATTGATTTCCATTTACTCTTCACGAAGCCCCTCACTCCAAACTAACGGATCCCACTGATCGGCAACAATAGAGTGGAAGAAGATTGGGTCAGAGATGAACGGCGCGGAGTCAAGCAAGGTCATATCCAGCTCCGGAGGAACGTGCTGGTCCCACAATCTATCAACAACGTCTGCATATTGAGTCAGGCAAATGTCGCCTAGTTCCCATCCGTGTAGTTCCTTATGCGAGCGTAAACAGTTTACGAGGTCGTGTGCGAGAGAGAGCGAAAGACTCTGTGTGGGTGATTCGGAAAGAGGAAAGTCAACCTGCACAGCTAGGCGCAGAAGGAACGCGGCTGTAGATGTCAATACAAATGCAGTCGTAGGTAGCCAAAAGTCCTCTAGTTGTTTAACGGACAGTTCCTGCACAAACAACACGATATCTTCTGCTGCTCGACGTGCTTCTAACAGTCGCTCGCTAGATGCCTGGCCCAGTGGAATATCTGCTTCCTCAACACTCAGGTAAAGACGAAGATTGAAGAAATTCAGCGCCAAGTAACACAGTCTGAGATTGGCTGCACCAGGTATAGTCAAGTCGGAGCCTCTAACAAGGATTCGCCTGATATCCCCGGGCAACATATCAGTCCACGTGTTTAGATCAAGCAAAAGGTTACGCGCCAAGGCGGCGATATTTGCCCCTTCACTAATGGCATACAGTCCTTCTAGATAATTACCGAGGGCGGTACTGAGGCTAGCCAATACCTCGAACACTCTGCCCGGCTCGTCGGGAGATGTCCTCTTGGGAAGGGGGACGTCATGATGGGTTTGACGAATGTGTGGTGGTGTCCCATGTGTAAGACTTGTCCATCGATCGTGAATGACAAGGCAGTACCATACATTGGTACGAAAAGTCTTTTCCTGCTCTGTTATGTTCCAGGGCGCAGGATTCCTATGCAAACCGAGGCATTTGGCCAGGGAGATGGCAGAACCCAAGAGCATTCCGTTGCCTACCATGGTGGTGGTTGGACGACCTCCAATATTTAGCAATATGGAAATGATCGATGACATGTCAGGCGAAATGTGTAGTTCGGAGTAGAGAGCATCCAAAGCCAAATTCCAGATGAAACGGCCATCTGGACGATGATATTTCCTCAGTTGCTGGTCCGAGGGCCAGTAACACATGGCGTGAGCATATAAACAAGCAAGCACAGCCGGCGAAATGCGAGAGCGTGTGCTGTGCTGGGAGAAGAAGTCTTCGTGGAGTATTGGGAAGCATGCGTTTGCTTTGGTGCGATAGACCATAAGCAATGCGTCTTGGTGGGGTTCCAAAAGCTTGACAATCATCTGCAGCTTGGCTGAGGAAGGGTTCGGGTCTATGGTGAGGCCCACAGGTCTCTTCTTAACGCGCATGAAGATGACAGGCGCTGATGCAGTACCAGGCAACGCAGGTCGGATAGCCCGCTCTCCTTGTGCCGCATGAATGCTAGACAGATAGCCTTGAAGGAAATGACTGTCCGCGGCGGTGGCCGGGGCAGCAATATGTGGGTTGTCTTCATTATCGGCGTCGAATGCTACCTCCGGAGCCGCACCGAGGTATAGACTAGGAGATGTTGAAATGGCGGCCAAGTTGGCATCGACAGCCGACGGCCCAAGATCACGTGTTCGCATCGAAGGCTGAGATGGCGACTGGCGAGGGTGACACGAACTCTGCTCAATCTGGTCGTCTCTCCATGTGCCCTGTACTGAGCCATTCCGCAGTGTTCGGACACACTGTGTCTGGTGTGCCTTGCACATGAGGCAGGCGTGCTCCGCTGGTTCATACTTGCAGCGCGACTTCCGCCGGCGGCAAGGATTGCACGCTGGCTGGCTCCGGCCCTTCACAACGCGGCGTGGAGGAGATCGCATATTTTCTAAAAGCTGCAGAGAAAACCAACAATTGGCTAGGCAGAAGGGGCGCGGGGCAAGCCAGAGGGTGTTCGAGGCGACGAGTGGGCAAGCGGTAGAGCTTCGCTCCGAGGAATTTGGTTGTGCGCGGCCCGTGGATAGTAGTAGTGGATTCACGTGCCTGTCAGCCCACGTCTAGCTTGTTATAAAATGAAGGCTTCTTTGTAGACTAAGCTGCTTGGTCTATGGAGATAATGAAGAAGCACTAAATAACAATGCTCAGTCACTACGTAGAAGAAAATAAAGTAAAGAGCATCAGATACATATTAGTTTCTGGGCTGGTGGCTTGATTACCTACGTAACACTAGCTACTAACTAACTAGAAGAACTTTTCTTTCCTGGCCACTCCTTCACCCAAGCTTCTAGTTGTGCAAGTATTTCTTGAATCACCATCCGTACAGGTTCGTTACGGCGAGCATTCCGATAATAAAGACAATCACTGCAATGATAACCACCCGGTACAAGATAGGCGGGAAGCTGCGCTGTGCTCTGGAGGGGACCCCCGGGACGAACTTCCGATGCAAACGTAGTCGGTCTCCAATAGTCGTACTCTCCATTGGCAATTAACAATCGAGTCGTATTTCCAATATTCCAACCACCCCAATACTCATTGAACTGGTCTACAGTGCGTAAGCCGTATGTCTCCCCATTAGGCCCTTTAGGAAACAACATTTCGCACATGTGGTATCCATACTTAACATCGAGTAAGCGGCTGATGAGGGATGGAGTGCCTTTGGGTGCACCTGCGGTCCAGCCGCCAATCGCCTCGTTGCATTCAAACCAGAGATATTGTCGGTTCCAAGGATTTCCAACGCTGATGTCTGTATAGAACGGGTTGTTGGGGTCGTACGAGTCCTCGCAGTAGGTACTATTTTCACTGTATAGTCCAGGATAGTGCTTGCCGAAGCCGTCTTTGCACATTCCAGGTAGCCTGTAATTCTTGACCTAATTACCCTAGTTCTTTAGTGCTTTCTCAACGCCCACGCCTTCGATGCCAGGAAGCTTGGAATGTGTGTAATTCCGAGTCGCCGGGTTCCAGACACCCTCAATAGTATCACACCATTGATAAATATTCATTACATCCGGGGCGGCGTTGATATCGAACTGCACGTTGAGCCAAAGTTCAGGGTCCCCACTAAGCGTGTTAACAAAATCCTCGTTGTGGGTCAGGTTCTGAAGACCAAAATTGGCTTTGAGTATGTCAATTTCCTTTTGGGAACCATTCAACAGCACACTGTCGATATAATCGATGACCTGTGCCACATCTTTTGTGCAGTTCTTTGGTCCTGCTTTCAGAAAACTATCGCTTTGCCTCCAGTACTCTAGCTCTGAATGTACTGCAGCACTCGTCGCCCAATACGCCCAGAAAGTGCCAGGTAGCTTTGTCGCAATATCAACGGTGATGATACCACTGTATGAGCCACCAGCGAGTACCCATGGCACATCAGACGCAGTGCTATTGGCAGCGAATGGTAGCTTAACATTCTTAGCAAAGTTGACAGTATCGTGCATGACTTGATCAAACGTGAGACACTTTAGGTTCGCAGTAGTCAGTTCCGGGTATGGTGAGGACTCTCCATAATATCGATTTTCGAGTACTACGTATGCTGCTCCAAGATTGCTGGCTAACTGTCCCTGGCTGAAGTAAAATTCTGTCGAACTGTAGTTTCCGTACCACAAATAGAAAGGAGACGCATCGGTCTCTCCAGGTAGCCAGAGTACAATATGCGAGCCTGGGCCCTTCCAGAACTCGTTGCTCCAAGAATAGCGCATTTTGAATGGTCCAAGGCTGGGGTTATGGTGATCAATCGGCTGCTCGAAGTACCCAATAGCAGGATTGTCTTCAGTGCCTGGGGGTGCCTCTCTTTTTGCGATTTGTATTTGTCCTTGCGGGTCTGGCTTTCCGGAATGTCGACTAGTGATATGTAGAGGGTCCCTAGCGCGAATGGCGAGGCTGCCAGACGCCAGGGAAAGAAGAAGATACAGCATAGCATGCATTGTCTTGGCAAATGTCTTGATTGCTACAAGAAAGCCTGAATATTCAACGAACAAAAGTCGTCTATTGAAAAAAAGAAAAAAAGAAAACAGTGTTCACCGCTTCAATCTGGCTAAATCGGCCGTTGCTGATTGCGCCCGGTGCACCTATGGCATAGCGGTGACTAGCCCCGTCGAACCCGTCCTGAACTCTCACAATATTGGAGCTACCAGGATTTTGGTAGGATGGGTGTTATTTCGGCTGTTCTCGGATCTCCGGAGATTCTGCCAGCCGACTGAGTTGTGAATATTTGTGTGCAAATATGTGGATGATGCTGACAATCATAAGGTTTAGGGCTGACAATTTCAAGGTTAAAGGCCTGTTTGATTGCTCCGTGTCCGTGTCCGTTTCCGGCCGGTTTAAGCTTGTTTTGGGTTAGAATTTTGCAAGGGGCTAGTAGCCAGTGCCCCTCTGGAGATGCTTATTTAAAGCAACGATTGCTCCAATGACTGGCGAAGCTCTCATTTGGACTATAAAACCCTTGGAAAACGCATCAGTCGTCGTCGTTGTTGTTGTCTACTCGAACTCCGCTACAATGAGAAGCCGGCAATGGGGAGGTTGGTTGCAATGAGTTTAGCTTAGTTCTATCATTATTGACGGACTCAATCGTAGTATGATCACATACTTGCATGGGACTGTTATTGATCTCATTTCAGCACTCAAGATCCGGCAGGGAGTTCTACGAGCAAACGAACGAGGTTTCTTTCTAATGTACCTCTACTTCCACTTCCGCATCTTATCTACGTATCAGAAGTGGTACAAATGATTGATGTGGAATTATTAAGTAATCAATCTTTACTCTAAGACATCATTGCGAGGCAATAGCTCTACGTCTACACTTTTACACACCTAGCACTGTGTTTAAAAAGAGATGCGCTGGTAGTACTAGTAAGCTCTCTTACTTCTTTTTCGATTGGTAGCTTTGCATAGCGTGCGTAAGAGGGACAACAGTTGTATTTTTTTATCCATATGCAAGTGATAACTTGAAATGCACGGGTAGTTATGAAAAGAAATCTCTGCTAGGACATATCACGTGGGTGGAAGGGGCGAGAGGTGGCGCTGAAGGCACCTAACTACACCAAAACCCCAAATAAGGCAGACTGTGCTCACACCCCTGGCATGACTCCAAACTATTTATAGATAGGGCTGAACTGACTGCTTCTGTGGCTTTGCAAAAGGCTGCAACAGTACCCAAGGCATACATACTTCAGAGAGTATTCCTTCATCCTCGCTCATACAAACAAAATGGACGCCTCAGTGGTTCTAGAGCCTCATTTGTGTCAGTACTCCTCCAGGTGGTTCGACGCATCACGCGCACAGACACGGTATGTAGTAGGACTCAAGCCTCAATAAGCCACCGTGCCAAGCACCGTGTCCAACCAAGTGCGGCTGAAGCGCTGCCTGACCGAGGTTACTCATGGAGGGGTCATACTTACAACAGTCGCACCTCTCCCATCGCAGTGAACAGGCAAACCTACGTAGAGAAGCGCCATGTCAAATTACAGCTCAAACACACAGCCCGGCGGTTACCAGGGCGCTTCACAGAACTATGCCCACCAACAGCAGCAGTATGGACAGCCAGGCCACACGTCCAAGGCTGGCGGCATTTTTGGGCAGATGATGAGCCAGGCCGTTTCCACTGGAAAGCCGATGGTGGATAAGCTGGGGCAGACATTGAGCTCGAAGCTTGGAAACAAACCCGCTCCTGGCCCTCCTCAACATCTGCAGAGTTACCAGAACTACCAGAGCCACCAGAACCCGCCAGGCCAAGGCCATGGTTACCAACAGCCGCAGGCTCAGACATACAGTCCCCAGCCGCAACAACAGCAGTGGCAGCAGCCTCAACAGCAACAGCCAACTCCGCCAACAACCTCTTACACTCCTGTACAGCCTTCACCATACCAGCCAAACTATTACTATGGGGCCTCGACCGGTACTCCGCCAAGCCAGAACAATTACTACCCACATCAGAGCCCTCCCCCTCCACCACCAGTGCAAGCGCCTGCTGCGCAACAGCCGCTAAGCGCGCCAGGTTACAACACATCTGAATATGGGCAAGGGCAGCAGGGCCAGCTCGGACAGACAAACGCTACACAATTTCAGCAACACTTTCCGCATGGGCAGCAGAATGCATATCACAGCCAAGAAACTGGCTTGATAGTGGGAGGCCACACTGGGTTGTCGCCACAGTCGGGATATCCTCCTGCGCCGCCAGTGCCACCGCATCCAAAAATCTCACCACCAGAATCAACAGTGTCCCCAAGCCAACAAGCGCAATGGGGGTATGCACAGGATCATGCTCCACATGTTGGTCAGCAACAACCTCCATACTCGCCGGCGCCAAACACGCCATCCCAACAAGAGCTGCAGCACCAACACCAACAACTGCCGCCAAATCCGCCTGGCTCAAACACGCCATACCAGCAAGAGCAAAGTCAACAGCAACAATGGCGTCCCATGTCACCTGCCAATCCAGCAGACGAGGTGACGAATCCAATCCCTCCATCAATAAGCCCTCCACTGCAGCACAAAGATGTACAAGGACAGTTACCACCGACCAATCTCACACATACACAACCATCTACGCCAGCCCCTCAAAGCTCTGTGTCTCCAGCCACATCTACCGAGTTCACCGCTGAATTACCCGCAGACTTGGGAAGCTTGAGATTAGGTGATCCGCCTGTTGACACGAAAGCAGCCAATCCATCCTCACAGTATCCGGTGCATAGTCCTTCGACGCAGGCTGCTTCACCATCCAACGTTTCTACAAGTCCCCCGCAAAAGGCCAGTACCAGCAGTATGCCGCTTGCAGATCCTTGGAGTTTCGTAAACCCAGTCACAGAAACCCCGACCCGAGAATTCTACATCTTAGCTGATCTGCTGTTTGATGCCCTGGACCGAAATTTTGAGCCGCGAAACTCTGGTTTGTTGGAAGCGCCCAAAATTTTGGCAAGTTGGATTGATCTGCCCGAGGATGCGCGCAGTAAGTCACCTGTAAAGCTGTCCGAAGTCCCCACTGACATAGTAGAACTTTACTCATACAATGGGTATACGGCCCTTGCGCATCAATTTGGACTGGAAGGTATTCCACACGTCATGGTTCCTGTACAACCTCACCTCGCGCCCATATGGAACTTTGATGAGCAGGTACATGCTGAAGAGCTCAAGATATTAGAGCCGCCCTCTGCTACCTCGTCGTGCGCAACGTATATGCCCGCGCTCAACCGCGCTGGCTGGTACAAGTTCTTCTTCCTCGAGATTATGCAGAACCCCGACGAGATTTCCACGCTGATGCCAGCACTCTGTGCAGACACGTACAAGCCTGGAGTACTCAATCACCCTGACTTAAGCAAAAGGGACAAATCCGAGGTTCAGGCTCTGCGATCACGCGCCGACGAAGTGCAGACACTCGCGATCAAGCGCGTGGGCGACGAGGCGAGGACCGCTATGATGCTTGATCCCAATATCCCTGTATCCAGTGTAGTGCAGGTGAGGGAATCTCCGGCGACATCCGGAACGCTAGAGCCAGGGTCGCCTAAGGATATAGCCGTGCGAATGCATCGAATTCAAGCAGAGCGGCAGTTCAACGATATGGCTGTGAGGACGGTACTTGGCGCAGGCATCACGTTTGGACCAGCAGGTGGCTACTCAGGCGGTTATGCCAGCTTAGTGTGATAGGCAGCTTTGGCACACGTGTTTCGCAGAAGAATGGCAAGGCTGTTGTGCATCGTTGTAAAATCATGAGTAAGTGAAGAAGCACGTTTAGGTTCGTATGGAAATGGACAAACTGGTATTTAGCACATCACCAGATCTGCCCTGTGCTGTTAGATTTACGTAGATGTGCGAGCTTGTCTTGATGCCTGAGGTGAATGAGATGGAATACGAAACATGGCGTTGGCTGAGGTGGTGGTTTAGCGACAGGTGCAAGTGGTGTGTGTCTGCTGTAGTTTGTCCTTTTACAGTACTAACTCAAAAGTCTGTTCGCACTAGCGTCTGGGCGCACCAACACTACTTTTTTGCCCAATTTCAACACCGTGCAACTCCACCAAAT